CGCTGCCAGCAGCAGCACGAATAGCCATCTCCATCTTATCTAAAATTCTTTCAAGTCTTCCTGCGTCACTATAATTTGCTGCTGCACTCAAGTCGTCATCAGCAGCAGCAGCAGCAGAACCTGCAGCAGCAGCAGCAGCAGCTGTTGCCCATGGATCCCTGGCTTTTGCTTGTGCTGCTGCTGCTGCTGCTGACACCTTTTTAGGGGGCCTCCACCTCTTTGGCTTGAAACTCTTATCTCCCTGCTCGTCCTTGCTGCTGCTGTCGCTGCTGCTGCCATCGCTGCTGCTGCTGCTGCTGCTGCGTGATTCAAGCTCTTCATCGCTTGGCTCTGGTGTGCTGCTGCTGTCAGCAGACGCCTCAGAAGCAGCAGAGTCTTCTTCTGATCCCTGTTCCCATCTGCTGCTGCTGCTGCTCCTGCTGCTGCTGCTTACGCTGCTGCTGCGCCTGTGTACGGGAGCTTGGACGCGACGCTGCTTTGTATTCTTTGGGGGGCCCCCAGGGGCCCCCAGACGGCCTACGGGACCCTTCCGGGGGCCTCCAGATCCTCCACGACGTCGGCCTCTACATGAAGATCTAGGAGGACCACCAAAATTGGCAGCAGCAGGAGGTTCTGGGGCCCCCTGGGGCCCCTGGGGTGAGGAGGGGGCCCCCCCGGGGCCCCCCTCCTCACCATATATCTCGAAGAACATCCGCTATAAGCAGCAGTTGTTTATAATTTTAGTGTTTATTTATTGTTATTTATTCATTTTAAAAGAAAAAGAAATGTTCAAACAAACAGAAAAAAGCAAATAAATACCCCCCGTGTTGCTGCTGCTGCTGCTGCGGTGTATCTTGTGTTGCTGTGGTGTATACTGGGCGGGGGCCCCCCATGTGCTGTTTGCTTACTATAAAGGGTTATATTAAATAGTTTTATCAAGTGATTACAATTATTTTGTTCAATTATTCAATTTTAAATAATAATATTTAATTAATTATACTTAAAAGCAGCAGGAAAAGGGTTGCAGCAGCAGCTGCTGTTGCGGTGGTTGTTTCGGGTGTATAGGGAGGTGTAGGGTATAACAACACCAGCAGACATAATTCTTTTTTATGAAGAAATTAGCAGTAAAATAATAAAAGTAATTATAAAATAATTAATTATTGTTAAATAATAATTTAATTATTAATTAATAATAATAAATACAAATAATTATAAATAGAAGGAAGTATTTATATATAGGGGTAGCTGTATAGATCGATACATTCCCTACTAATTATACCTATGAGCATATAACACTATCTGCCTATACACCGTAGCTCTAGGTACACAGACAGCAGCAACAGCAACAGCAGCAGCAGCAGCAAGAGTACCAACAGCAGCAGCAACAGCAGGAGCGCTACGACCCCCTACGATAGCAACAAAACAAAAAATAAATTATAGAGGAAAAGGGCCACTCTTTGTGCCTCCCCTTAAGGAGACACCAAACGGTGGGGCCCCACACATCTCTTGGGGGGCCCCCTTGTACTAGGGGCCCCCCCTACAAGTAGGGGGCCCCCCTTATAGTTGGGGGCCCCCTAAAGTTCTTTTCTGTCTTAAAGAAAGAAAAAGACCTAAAAAAGAAGAATGACAATAATACTGCTACTGCTGCTGCAGTTGCTGCAGCAACAGCAGCAGCAGCAACAGCAACAGCAGCAACAACAGCAGCAGCAGCAAAAGCTAGTTTAGCGAAGGAAGAGCGAAGGTAGTTGATTTTCCTGCATTTGTGTCTGGCGTCCTGCACAAAAACGCATGCAATAAGCAGCAAAAATAAATAAAATAATTATTTATTAATTATTAATTAATTATTTATTAATTATTTATTATTTATTATTTAATTATTAATTATATTTAATTATTATTAGTTTAGTAGCTAGTACAGTGTCTGCGTTGCTTGCTGCAGCAGCAGCTGCTGCTGCAGCAAGCAACGCAGAGCAGCTGCTGCTGTAAGGACTCACTCTTTTGCTTCTGCTGCTGCTGCTGCTGCTGCTTCTGCTGCAGCAGCAGGAACAACATGTAGGGAGAAGCGACGGCAAATAGGTTGAGGTCTAGAGGGGACAACAGCAAGTAGTTCGTACACCCCAACGCGGTGTATAGGGAGCAAAGGGACACCCCCTAGTTGTTGCTCCTGGTGCTGCTGCACTTGTTGCACTTGTTGCTGCTGTTGCTGCTGCACTTGCTGCTGCACTTGCTGCTGCTGCTGCTGCTGCTGCAGAGGTTTATAAGAAAGGAGCCTTATATCATTAGGTAATAGATCTAATCCTTCTTTATTAGATAAAAGAGACAATAAATAAAAAGGAGACACTTCTTTTCTTATTTGCTGCTTATCTGTCTCCTCTGTCTCTGCAGCAATATATACACAAATACGTCTTATATAATTCAGGCTCTTGCTACCATCATCTATATACACCTCAGATAGCCTGCTGCTGCTGCTGCTGCTGCTGCTGGTGCTGGTGCTGCTGCTGGTGTGAGGGGTAACATCAAGAGGACCTGCTGCTGCTGCTGCTGCTGCTGCAGTAGTAGCAGCAGCAGCAGCAGCAGGATCATTATCTCCTATCTCCTGATTCCCCATTTGCTGTTTTTGCTGCTGCTGCTGCATCTGCTGCAGTTGTAGTATCCGTTGTTGCTGCCTCTGCAATTTCTGCTGCTGTTGCTGTTGCTGTTGCTGCTGCTGCTGCTGCTGCAGCAAGTATTGATGTACATAATCAATATTTTGCCAATTAGCAGGTAATGCTGCTCCTGTCTTGGCTAAGAAATGACGAAAAAAACCACGACGTACATACACTGCATGCCCTGCCAGCCCCACACCCTGTATATTTTTTTTTATTATTATTAATATATATGGATGTATACATCTTGGGTATAATATACCTCTATATATATAAGGTCTTATAGGGGATATAGCAAATGTTCTTATTTGTTGTTTATTTATATTATTTATATTATTTATATTATTTATATTATTTATAGTATTTATATTATTTATTTTATTTATATTATTTATATTATTTATATTATTTATATTATTTATATTATTTATATTATTTATATTATTTATTTTATTTATATTATTTATATTATTTATATTATAAGGAAAAAAAAAAGAAAAAGGAAACAAGGAGACACTTAGGCATATCATTATCTCTAATTTATTATGTCTTTTATTTATTGTCTCCTTTTCTTCTTTTTCTTATTATTTATTCGTCTTTTTCTTCTTCCTTTTATTAATTATTTACTTGTCTCTTCCTTCTTCTTCTTTTATTAATTATTTATTATATATATAGTTAATATGTACCTAATAATATACAATAATATTTTCTCCCTTTTTTGTACTTTATAACCATACTTGGGGATCCGGCAACCCCACACGATCCCGATCCCGATCCCGATCCCGATCCCCAACCGATCCCAAGACGATCCCAAGACGATCCCGACCCCGATCCCACCAAATAGGATAGATGGGCTCAATAACCCCACAAAGAGGAGAGGCAGCAAAAATTAAAAAAGATGCAGCAAAGACATCGTCTCTATAGGCAGCAGCTGCCCTTCCCCTTTATCCATACAGCAGCAGCAGCAGCAGCAACAGCAGCAGCAGCAACAGCTGCTGCTGCAATAACAGCAGCAATAGCAGCTGCACAGGGATTCGTATACCACAGCACAGGACAATACTGCTTCCTTCTTCTGTACTGCTGCTCAATACTAGAAGGCACACAAACCCTAAATACTGCTGCTGCTGCTGCTGCTGCTGCTGCTGCTGCCGGTGGGGCCCCTCGTCTTCTTTGCCCTTTACAGGGTAATTAATAAATAAAAAACTAAAAAAGGATTTAATAAGAGGTGTATTTTAACAAAAAATGGCAACAAATGCACAAAACAGCAGAGTAGATGGGGGCCCCCCTCGACGGGTCTGTCATAAGGGGCCCCCCAGTAGCAGGGGGGCCCCCCAAGACATAAAAAGGGGAGAAGAGAAGAAAAGAAAAAAAGTTAAACAAATTAATTCTTTTTTACATTTTTAGTAGAGGAAGAGCTGCCTATACACCCCGTTGAGACCCTCATCGGCTGGTAGCCGGTCTAGGGTTTATAGGGGTGTGGCTAGGGTTTAGGGTTTAGGGTTTAGGGTTTAGGGTTTCCTTAAGAAGTATAAGACAAGAGATTATATCCTTGCAGACTTATAAACCCTAAACCCTTAACTCGACACTATACACACAACTATCCAACAAACCCTAAACCCTAAACCCTAGCTTGTGTGAGTCTTGCTGCCTCCTACGAAGCATACCTACACCTAACGGCAGCAGCAACAGTCCTGCTGCTGCTGCAGCTACTGCTGCAGCAGCATGCCTAGTAACAGCAGCAGAGTCCAAGTAGCAGCAGCAGCGGCAGCAGAAGGAGCAGCCGTAGGAGCATCTGCAGCATCGACAGCAGCAGCAGCAGCAGCAGCAGAGGAATAAGATGAGGCTGCTGCTGCTGCTGCTGCTGCTAAGCAGCACCAGATTTTCTAGAGCAGCAAGACTGCAGCAACGGGAGATTTTCTCTCCTCCTGCTTTCTTATATAGAGGAAATCTTCAACACCTATACAGAGCAGCGCCTGCTGCTGCTGCTCCTGCTCCTGCAGCAGCAACAGCAGCAGCAGCAGCAGCAGCAGGAAGAGCAGCTGATGCGTCGCCATCTGCAGGAGACGCAGCAGCATCACCAGCAGCAGCAGCAGCATTAACAGCAGCAGCAGCAGAAGCAGCAGGTCAGGAGGTGTCAACAGGTGTGCCTGTTGGCACCTTAGAATCCCTCAGGTTAGTTTATCTTATTGCTGCTGCTGCTTCTGCTGCTGTTGCTGCTGTTGCTGCTGTCGTTGCTGCTGCTGCTGTTGGTGCTGCTGTTGTCACCGTTGTTGCTGCATTTGCTCGCTGTTGCTACTGCTGGTTTCGCTTGCTGCTGCTGCTGCTGCTGCTGCTGCTGCTGCTGCTGCTGCTGCTGCATCTTCTGTTTACGATATAAGTTGTGTTTGTGTTGTTGGTGTGTATAGGGAGGTGCTGCGTCGCGCCGAGGAGGGGCCTCCTTCTCCTGCTCTTGCTGCTGGTGCTGCTGCTGCTGATGCTGCTGATGCTGCTGCTGCTGCTGCTCCTCCTCCTCCTCTATGGAGTAAACCGCGGCGCCTCTCTATCTTGGGGTGTACAGGCAGCATAGGGAAGCAGACACTAGAGGTCTGCAGACAATTCCCTCATCTATTTAATGTTGTTGCTCTTGCTGCTGCTGGATCCTCCATGCAGCTCCTGCTGCAGCAAGCTCTTGAATTCAGGTACTGCTGCTGCTGCTGCTGCTACTGTGGCTGTTGTTGCTGCTTCTTTATCTAGCTGCTGTTGCTGCTTATGCTCGTTTCTGCTGCTGCTGCTCTTTCTGTTTGCTGCTGTTGCCCCTGCGGCTCCTTGCGGTTGCTGTTGCTGTTGCTGTTGCTGCTGTTACTGTCATTTGTTGCTGCTGCTGCTCTTGCTGCTGCTGCTGCTGCTGCTGCTGTTCAGACCTGAATTGATAGTTGTGGAGACAGCCGAGCGTGCGCAGAAATTAGGTGACATGATAAAAGACGCATGCAGCGGCTGGAGCAGCAGCAGCAGCAGCAGCAGTAGCAGCAGCAGTATGAGCAGCAGCAGCAACAGCAGCAGCAGCAGCAGCAGCATAGGGCGGTACTCT